GATTGAGAGATCGTGTTGCGCGAGACAGAAGTCGCTTGGAATTACACCATTTTAATACATTTCTAGACATCGTTTACTAAATCACTTCCCTCCAATTATAAAGTTAAAATTATGGTCATATCTAACACTACATACTCCTTACGCCAAATTCCAGGTTAGTGGTAAAAGAAAAAAATAATGTTTTCCTCCACTATTAACTTAACCACAAGAAAGACAAGAGAGAAAAGGATGATATAAAACGCTAATAAAAAAGTCGAAAATCCTCAACCTCTACCCTTTTCGTTGAAATCAAGAATAAAAAATAAAATCCCAAGAAATAAAACGAGAAAAGTGAAATTAACTCCCCAAAAGAAAAAAAAATCAGTTCAACCGTAAACAAACTAATTTAACAATAACCTCACTTAAAAAGGAAAGGAAAAGAAAAGAAAAAAACAACCACTGAAAATTAAAACCGCATTCACCCACCTGTTCCACCACTGTCTTCATGATAACAGTGCAGTTACGAACGTCCATCGGGAACTGGTCGGTGTCCCATCCCAAGTCTGGCGATCCTGTGTTGGCATCGATACTTCCCAACATGCCGTACCTGGTGAGTTAATAAAATAAAATAAAATATAAGAAGTAAAACAATATAAGAAAAAAAACAATAAAAGGAAAAAAAGAACATATAGCTAAATTTGTATGTTATTTGTATATAAGTATATGGCTAAATTTGTATATTATTTGTATATAAAAACATGTGGCTAAATTTGTATATTGTTTAAGCTCTTTGAGAAGAATGAGAATTGGTTACAAAAATTGTGTTTCAATAAATTAAGAGCAAGATTTACAGATTTCATAAGTAAAAATGATGGTAAGTATAAGAATTATATGTTTCATTACTTCTAATAATTGTAACAAAAATTACAATAGATACAATAAATACATATAATAAATAATAATAATAATAACAAAAAACTAATAATAGTAAGACTAACAACAGTAACAAAACAACAACAACAGAAACAATTTCACCCCCCCCCCTCGCCGTCCCCAATACCCGAAGCCCCGCCCCCCGTCACCACGCCCACTCACGCCGACGCGAAGACCACGTCGTGCTCGTGCGGGTGTCCGGCTAACGTGGTGTGGTTGGGCTCGATGTTGAGCTTGAAGTGCTGCGTCAGCCCGTACTGGTGGAGGAAGGACATGACCGTCTGGGCGTCGTAGTCGTACTGGTGGCGCGTCGGTTCCTTGGCCTTGGGCTCGATCAGCAGCTGGCCCTTGAAGCCGATCTTCTCCTTGTAGACTGTGGGGGTCGGGGAGAGAAGGAGAGAGGGTGAGCTAGAAGGAGAGGGAGAGGGAGAGGGAGAAGTAGAGAGGGAAAGGGAAAGGGAAAGGGAAAGGGAAAGGGAAAGGGAAAGAGAGAGAGAGAGAGAGAGAGCGAGAGAGAGAGAGAGAGAGAGAGAGAGAGAGAGAGAGAGAGAGAGAGAGAGAGAGAGAGAGAGAGAGAGAGAGAGAGAGAGAGAGAGAGGGGTATTTTTTGGTTTTGTGTGAAAATACACTGGTGTGTCTGCTTGTCCGTTCCGTTGTCGTATTTTAGTTTACGAATATTACAAAATCAATTATTAGAAACAAAACACCTAACAAAAACAAAACCAAAGACTGTTCCATTTTATCCCACCTCTTTCCATATGAAAATAAAAATTGAATATATACAGATTAAAACCAAAACCTCCACTCACCAATGACCATCCTGAAGAACGCGGCGAGGTGATCCAGATCCGCCTTGACGTCGGTGTTGAGCAGGGAGAGGTAGCCCTCGCGGCCGCCCCAGAACACGAAGTTCTCCGCCCCGAGTCTGTGGGCGATCTCCAGCCCCTTCTTGACCTGGGCGCCCGCGTAGGCCGTCACGTGGGCGTCGCAGCTGGTGGCGGCACCGTGCATGTACCTAGGGCGAATAATCCTGTTGGTTTCTCGTCCATTTGGTTTTGTCTATTTTTGTTTACTGACTCGGGTATATGTTTTCGAATAAATACGATGGTATTAACAACTGGGTTAAGATACAGTGACCCTTTGATACAGAGCAGCTCTTGACCGTATCTGTCAGCTTAATGATTTTAAATATTGGCAGTTGAAAAAAGGAAATGAAAGTAATGAAGAGAGAAAGAAAACAAAAAAAATCCTATAGAGTAACATCCAAACCTCAAACCAAAACAACCCATATAAACAACAACAGCAATAATAATAACAACAATGACAATAAAAAATCTCCCCTCCCATCTCGCGCCCACAAACGCCACCGTCTCACCTAGGATGAGCGAAGAGATTGCACGTCGCCCACAGCAGCTTGACGCCCGTCTTCTTCTGCAACTCGGCCGCCAGTTCCACCAGCTGGTCCAGGTTGGCGTTGGTCTCCGCGATCGTAGCGCCTTCGGGAGCCAGGTCGCGGTCGTGGAAGGTCCAGTACTTGTTGCCTTGGAGGAGGAAGAAGGTCAAGGAGGGGGTCACGGAGGGGGTCACGGAGAGGGTCACGGAGGGGGTCACGGAGGGGGTCACGGAGGGGGTCACGGAGAGGGTCACGGAGGGGGTCACGGAGGGGGTCACGGAGGGGGCACTGATTTAGGCATAGTTCTGGGTTGTAGTGGATCTGTACATATTTATCCTTTTAAAAAGTAAGCAGTTGTGTCGAGGTGATTTTTTTTTACGATTTACCTTGTTCCAGATTGTATGTTGTATTTTCCCATCAATTTAGCGCACAGAGTTATGTAACCTATATATTTGAATGCTTTAAGTCATTTAGTGATGCAACACTTCTGCGCATGAAAAGTATCGATGCACCTCAATATAACGCGTATCTTATAGACCAAAATACACATAAAAAAATGAAAACAGTAGCAACAACAACAATAAAGATAATTAACAGTAATATTAACCGTAGTAGTAATACTAATAAAACAACAACTATATCAATAACCACGATAACGCCCCACGCACCGAGTTTGGAGAAGAACTCGAAGGCAGCCCGAAGACGCCGCTTGGCATTCTCCAACGATTCGGTGCCGTCGTCCCAGGGCCTCCTGATGGTGCCGGCGCCGAACGGGTCGCTGCCTGAGGGTCAAGGCCAAAGGTCAAATTGGGTGAAATTGGTCGAGACTGAGTGAAATAGGGTGATACTAGGTCCTTTAGTAGGTCAGGAAGGGAATAAGATTGGGTGAAACAAAACGGATAGGAGTGAGAGACAAGCTGGAAGGGGGAGGGAAGGGGGAGGGAAGAGGAGGAAGGGGGAGGGAAGAGGAGGAAGGGGGAGGGAAGAGGAGGAAGGGGGAGGGAAGAGGAGGGGAGGGGGGAGGGGGTGTTATGGGGCTGGATTGGGTGAGAAGGGGTGAGATAAGGGTGAGAAACAAAGCGAGATAGGGTGAAAGACAAGGAATATGGGGTGTGATAAGTGTGAGAAGAGTGAATTGGGGTGAGAGATAAGGAAGATGGGATGAGAGACGGGCTGAGATATGGGTGAGAGACAAGGAATATGCGGGTGAGACGGGGTCGAGAGACAGGTTATGTATTCATATGAGATGAGACAGGGCGAGAAATAGGACGACACGAATGACGAAGCGGCAAACACGCTATGAAACAGGATTATACATTAGGAGAAAAAAACAAAACAAAAACAAAAACAAAACAAAACTCCTTAACAATAACATACGAAACCACAACAACAACCAATCAAGCCCTCAAACAACCCCCACACCACCCACCCCACACCCCGCCATCCCCATTCCCTCCCCCTCCCCTCCCCTCCTTACCTGTGCCACGGAACGAGTGCCAATACGCCACGGAGAACCTCAGCCATTCCTCCATCGTCCGGCCCAAGACCTCCTGCTGGGCGTCGTAGTGGCGGAAGACGAGGCTCTCATCGGGGGCGGCGTCGGGGTTGTACTGGATGGGCGAGATTCCTGGAACGGAAAAAGGGCGGCCGGTTAGGGGGGGGCGGCGAGCGAGGGAGGGGGAGGGAAGAGGAGGGAGGGGGAGGGAAGAGGAGGAAGGGGGATGGAAGAGGAGGGAAGAGGAGGATAGGAGAGAATGGGGGAGGAAAGAGGAAGAAGGGGGAGGAAGAGGGAGGAAAGAGGAGGAAAGAGAAGGAAGGGGGAGGATAGGAGAGAATGGGGAGGAAAGAGGAGGAAGGGGGGCGGGAAGAGGAGGAAGGAGGAGGGAAAAGGAGGAAGGGGGAGGGAAAAGGAGAAATGGGGAGGAAAGAGGAGAAAGGGGGAGGGAAGAGGAGAAAGGGGGAGGGAAGAGGAGGAAAGAGGAGAAAGGGGAGGAAATAGGAGGAAAGAGGAGGAAGGGGGTGGAAAGAGGAAGAAGGGGGGGGAAGGGGGAGGTAGAGGGAGGATAGAGAATGGGGAGGAAAGGAGAGAATGGGGGAAGAAAGGGGAGAATAGGGGTGGATGGAGAGAGGGAGCGAGGGGAAGGCAGCGAAGGAAGGAATGGGTGGGGTACGAGAGGGGAAGAGAGAAAAACGGAGAAGGAGGGACAGGGGGACAGGAGGAGAAAGAGAGTTTGGAAGAGAGGGAAAGGAAGAGGGTGGGTCTAAGATGAGTAGAGAGAGAAAGAGCGAGGGAAAGGGAGAGGGTAGAAGAGAGCAGAAGTGAGAGAGGCAAAGAAAAGAATAGAAGAAAAGAGAGAGAGAGAATCAACTTAACAATCGCACAAACGATAGTAAATACGTCTCTTGATATATTACGAATGTATGTCTAGTAAACGAACCATTAAACCCACCCACCTATCTGTCAATGAACCACTCTTCTCACCTTCTACCAAAACCCTAAACCTTTATATAAGGGGTTCCAAGGTCCCTGGATGGGTTTCAGGTGTCCGTGAGGATCAGATGTAAATTGAATTAACTTTTTGAATAAAACAGGAGTCTTTTTATACTTACTTAAATATATAATAATACTTCGCGTATCCCATTATATACACGAGACAAACAAATCCCAATAAATAAACAACGCAATACACACAACACACAAAGTCGCGCTTATATGAATATTTCAAGGAAAAAGGGGGATCTAAACCTTTCACCACATTCTCGAAAGGGATCCACGACTCTAAAAAAAAACAAAAAAAAACACTGCTCTAAACAATACAACTCGTCCTTCCCTTCCTATTCCTTACAACCTCCATAAAATATCTGAAGAAAAGAGAAAGAGAGAGAGAGAAAAAAAACAAGTTGCAAGAGAGCACACTCGCGTTACAGGAACTGGACGGATTCTGTTTACGAGTTTGTCTTCGTTTCCGCGTGTGCTTCGGTGTCCGTTTTCACCATCCTGGAAGAGATAGATAAATAGACATGCGGACAAACAGATAGAAAGAGGGATGAAGAGACACGGAGAGAAAGGAGGAAAGAGGGAAAAGAACGAATGAAAGAAAGAAAACACAGAGAGAAAGCAAGAGAGCGAGATAGAGATGGAGACAGAGATATATATATGTAGAGAGAAAGAGAGAGAGAGAGAGAGAGAGAGAGAGAGAGAGAGAGAGAGAGAGAGAGAGAGAGAGAGAGAAAATTAATACCTCATTAATCGCATATTCACGTCCTTCTTTCTCTGCCCCCCCCCCCCATCCCCCCTCTCTCCTTCTCTCTTATAGAAGACCAGAAGAGTGTTAAAAAAAAAAAAGCTTTCGTAGAACTGGTTTCAAAGCTGAGTTAACAAACCATCATTTTTCGTACCTTTTGCCCCCGCGTTCTCTACAGTCCCAATCTCTTAAAAGATTTTCTTCGCTGAATTTCGCTGTTATTTTTTTCACTTAGATGGAAGTAAGTAATTCGTAAGTGGAGAAAATCGTACAAATTACAAAATTCTGCCAAAAGAAACATAGGCCTTTAATTAAACCAACCGCAGTTTGTGTGGTCAAAGGAAGGGAAGATGGCGTGTTTCCGTCACTGAGGAGAGGCTGATCAAAGAGAGGAAAGGGGAATAGGAGATAAATAGGGAAGAGAAAGAGAGGAACATGGCGAAGGAGAGTGAGAGAGAGAGAGAGAGAGAGAGAGAGAGAGAGAGAGAGAGAGAGAGAGAGAGGAACAGAGGAATAAAGTAAGAGAGGAAGAGAGAGAGAGAGAAAGAAAGAAAGAGAGAGAGAGAGAGGGACTGGGAGAGGGTGGGGGAGGGGGAGAGGGAGGAAGAGGGAGAGAAGGAGGTAGGGGGAGGAGAAGGAGAGGGAGAACGATCCCTTATCAAAAGATGCTGGGAGCAATATCTCCGCCTCCCTCGTTCAGATAAACTCCTTAGAAACTGTAATCACGTGACCAGCTCTCTATCTTATCTCACGACACTCCCTCTTTGTCTTTGTGTCGCTCTTCCACTCTCTTTCTCCATCTCCCTCTATCTTCTTCCTCCTCCCTCTCCTTTCCAACATTCATTTACCCCTACTTATTTTTCCTCTTTTTACCATCTCCTTCTCTTCCTCTTTCCCCCATCTTCTCCCCTTCCTCTTTCCCTCCATCTTCTCCTCTTCCTCTACCCCATCGTCTCCTAAACATCTGCTCCTCTCCTCTCTTCCTCTTCCCCCATCGTCTCCTAAACATCTCCTCCTCTCCTCTCTTCCTCTTTCCCCCATCTGCTCCCCTTCCTCTACCCCATCGTCTCCTAAACATCTCCTCTCCCCCCCCCATCCCCCATCTTCCCCCTTCGCCGGGAGATGAAAAGACAAAACTGCGCCGATAAGCTTCCTCGTATCTCTCGGCTGCGGCGTCGATAAAGCCTACTGGGACAAAGACATCCTGATGAGCGAAAAGAAGCAATAATGACAGGGTGTTTTCATTCGTTTTCATGTCGCCTGTTTTCATCTATCATATCTTCCTTTATTTCGCTGCGTTTCGTACAGTTGCCTTAAGATATACAGATTTGATGGATTTTTTTTTTCGGTTAATAAACATTATTCGTTTCATCTGTTTAATCTATTCATGTGGTGATTGGCTTTATTAAACTTACCTGCCTTAAGTTCACAGTGTACTTTGTGCAGGCAGTCTCCTCATGACAGAATGATTTTCATCTAAATATGAGAATAGCTAAAAATCCAAATTCAAGATAAAGTCTACCACTGTTGTTAATTAAAACTATTTCTTAGCGGATCCCTTTTCTGGCAATGAATCTTTTAAGGAGATCCAACTCGCCACCACAATCTACTCACTTAGTACCTAAGTCTTGGCCAAAACTTAAAAAAAAAAATAATCACAATCCGTCTAAAACTTTTCGTGTAATTGTGTTAACAAACCAAGCAATAATAATGATAACAAAACCGAAGAATTGCATCTAATAAGACAATATAATTTTATTTGCCAAAAAAATATATTATCGCTCAACGGACAAGAAAAGACCAACCCTATATAGAGTATAACAAAAACGACCTGATGAGGACACACTTTGAAATGGAAAATAATGAAATTAATCATGGTACCAATGCCAGTGGCAATACCATCTTTAAGGGCCAAGGTCAAATAACACCAATTTTGAGATCAGCCTACCA